TTTAAATGATATATTAACAACAATTTAACATAAATCTATATAAAAGAATAGAAAATGCATATTAATTTAGTAGTAGCTTAGTACCGATTGATTAATTCATGAAGTTTGTAATTATTAATATGTTTGTTCTGGCATCGAGGAAAGATCGTTACGTTACAAATGGAAACACCTCCGCGATCGATTATGCTAATGAGATAACGGTTGCTCTTATTGCATAAATTATTAAGACAACTTAATTACAGGAGTGTTAATTAATATGCATTAGAAGCTATAGTCCGTGTATTTTAAAGAGAACATAAATAACATTTTGAGTGTTTTACACGTGGGAAAAGTTTATCATCTCGGATAGTGTTTTAGAATTCATTGTAGTGCTGTTATTTATATGTTATCTTCTATTTTTGATTTGTTAAAAATATAAACATGTACCAGATGAATATGGTAATGCATATAAAAACAGTCATTATTAAAGTACATTGGGGGGAATGGAAGATGATAAAAAACCAAAGTTTATTAGTAAATATTCGAAATTAGGTCGATTAGGAATTTTATTGATTGAACAGCTTTTGTTGTTCAGCAATTTTGTGTTGCATATGATATTAAGTAATGGTAAAGAGCATTTCAATTTATATTTATAACAAAAAATTTTCCTTAAACACTTTAACAAGAATTTTAATGCATAATTTGAAGAATTGATTCGATTCTAGGTTTTCTGTGTATAATTCTTTATTAAAATGATGTCAAACAGTAGTGGAATATTTAATGTTTGTTGTATGCGAATTATTAAATTTAGAAAAATAATTAACGTTATTATTTGCTAGAATAGCAGTGCACTGCGTTGAGTTCAAAACTATAGTAGGCTACATCTCTCTGATTTTATTCATTAATTAAAAAATTAGATATTATTTTATCATAGTCACGGTAGTGACTCCCCACCAAGTAAAGAAGCCTTTGATTGACATTATTTTATTATTGTAAACATACGCACATAATAATTTGCACTTTTAATATCGAATCGTTTTAAAAATGGATTAAAGCCAATTATCAAAAATCTCTTCTTCATTACTAAGACAAGTTCCTAATTATATTAGCGGTTCTGTCTTGTTAAAGTGACTTTTGGTGACTTAATGGCAATTTTATTTTAAAATGTTTATCAATAAAAGTGATCAGAATTCATATACAGTATTTCAATGTTTACTATAGATGTTTTAGATTATTTTTTTACATCCCTCAATTTTTTCGTTATTATTTAAAATATACCGGTGTTTATAAAAAGAAATTACTGTATTCTCGTTTTAAATTCAAATCATGAAATAAAATTGACCTAAAAGGTATGATTAATAGGAATCGATCATAATCATTGTGTGTAATCTTTTGGTATAAGTATTAGCAGTGATCGATCTTATTTTAAATGGCCTTTTAACATTCACTGCTTTCTCCTCGGAAAATGCTTCTTGGTTACTTTTATTATCCAGAATACCCCTCAAAAATAATTATATATAAAAGGATGCTAAATTATAAAATAATCAAACAGATAAAGATTAAACAGACGTTGGACAAACGCAATAGGTTAGTTTGTAGTGAATTAAATAAAATGAAGAAAAATAGAATATGGGATACATAAATTTTTTTAAATAAAATGATTATTTAAAGATTTATTATTACCGAATTATAAGAACACATTTACTCTTTTTTGAATTTATGCACTTTTTGTTTACTCTTTCTTCCCTATAGACACAGCCTTTTTAAAGCCCATCCTGGATTTGGCCAGGCTCATAATGGGGTGGCCAGATGGTGAGGAATGAGGCTCGATATTCCGGATTAACGGTGTGCGATGACAATTTTCAAAAGGGATGTGAGAAAACCCATTTTTCATACATTATAACAATTATTATTTAAACACCGGAAAAACTTATTTTATTCGCAGATTATTGGCACATTAATTTTACTTTCCCAGCTCTGTTATACAGAGCTGGAGATCAGTTAAAACTGACCCCTCCACGATTTTTACATTTCGGATACCTTCAAACGTCGAGAAATGCAAAAAATCGAGATTTTCTGTATATATGGATATTAGTGTATAGGGGAACACGATTCTGTTCGCTCTCTTTGAAGCTTAATTAATAACTCCTGTGCTTTTTGTCGAAAATTTCTGAAATTTTGCAGGGAGATTTGTGTATTAAGGTCATTGATGCCATTAAGGCTGTGTACACATTAGGCGTTTTTAAACGTGCGTTATAGGCTGTGTACACACTAGGCGTTTTAATAAACGCGCGTTAGCCCGGCGTTCGACGAGCGTTTTTGGAGCGTACGCACTGGCTCAGTTTGGAAATGGACGTGAAAGTAATTGCTTGTGTACCCCTCCTCCATCGTCGCTATAAAAGACGATGGCAGAGGCAAAGAGAATTTTGGGTGCACCCAATATTACGAGATAGACTGACACATGGAATGTTTGCGACGTTGTATCCAAAACTAAGACAAAATGAACCCAAGTTTTTTAATTCTTTTAAAATATCTATAAAATCCTTTGACGATGGTTGGTCTCTTTTAGATTTCATCAATAAATAGATCAGTATCGAAATGATCGTTCTCCATTTCAGCACATATATCTCAAAGCGCTCGGCTGACGCCCGCAAAACGCGCGATC